CCGTCTGGCGTAGCATTTGGCCCAAGAGGCAGCGACCAAACTGGGGGAACTCTTGGCAGTACTGTAGGAGAGTAGAGTTGCAGTCCTGAATGACGGGGAAGAGGCAGTGGGTTGGGCCTGCAGGGTGAAAGGGCTGTTGAGATGCTCTTTGTCTTGAACACTTTCTCCGCTCCGTTCACAGGTACCCATCCTAGCAGCCGCTGCGCTTGGCAGCAGCCCAGATTACTTGCAAAGCTGGCTCCCTGCGCCATGGTCACCCACAGCAAGTTCCCCAGTGCCGGGATGAGCCACCCGCTGGACACCAGCCTGCGCCTCAAGACATTCAGCTCCAAGAGCGAGTATCAGCTGGTGGTGAATGCTGTGCGCAAGCTGCAAGAGAGCGGCTTCTACTGGAGCACGGTGACAGGTGGCCAAGCCAACCTGCTCCTGAGCTCTGAACCCATCGGCACCTTCCTCATCCGTGACAGCTCAGACCAGCGCCACTTCTTCACTCTGAGCGTCAAGACTGAGTCAGGCACCAAAAACTTGCGGATCCAGTGTGAAGGAGGCAGCTTCTCACTCCAGAGTGACCCGCACAGCAGCCAACCTGTGCCCCGCTTTGACTGTGTTCTCAAACTCGTTCATCACTACATGCCCCTCCCTGAGCAACAACCAGGGGAGGCATCACACCCTAAACGTGCCTACTACATCTACTCAGGTGGAGAGAAGATCCCACTGGTGTTGAGCCGTCCCCTCTCCTCCAGCGTCTCCACCCTACAACATTTGTGTCGCAAGACAGTCAATGGACACTTGGATTCTTATGAGAAGAGGACCCAGCTTCCCGCCCCCATCAAAGACTTCCTGGACCAGTATGACGCGCCTTTCTAAGGGGCTTTTTCAGCAGGATTAGCCCGTGACACAAGCACAAGAGCAGAACGGGGAAAGGATGAAGCTAGAGAATCCAGGGCAAAAATCACACTTTTTTTCCTAGCATGTGGATTATGAAAGGGGCAGGGGGCCAGCACACAGAGTAGCCTCGGAATGTCTGCCCAGCACAGAAACTCTCTTGCTATTGCTTGTGCTGGATAACTTGCCAAGGGGTGATTTGTGCAAGCGACTGATGCTGTTGGACTATGGAACAGACTGTTGCTGCTTGATAAAACTGTCTCTCTGGCTTAGGATGGGCATGATGGAATGGTTTGCAAACCTCCTTAACCAATGGACCGTTTACAAAGAGCTGACTGCTCTGCACTGGACCAGACCACCTCTAATGACTTCTGACCAAAACCATTCTTCAGACAAAGGAATACATGCACTGGAATCCAACTAGTGCCTGAAAATCAACGTTTTCCTCAGTTTTAAGGGGAAAATATTTTTATTGTTATGGATATTGTTATTAATCTTTACCTCTTACAACCTCCAGAAGGGACAAATCTCCTTTCATCCCAAGTCTCTTCCTCAGAGGTTGTTGCCACAACATTTATTCATGGGACTAAGCCTTAAGAAGAAATCCACATCCTCCATGGACTATTAATGAACATCCCACGAGGAGAATACCATTCACACTCTGGGCCATTATGCAGGCAAAGGACATAACTCTCTGAAACTGCATCATTGCTTTTGGAACACCAAACTGAATGTTAAATTATCTGGCTGTTTCTCCTGAGTTTTTATTCTACCTTGAGTTCTCTGCTCAGGCTGCTAATTTCTTGCCTTCCTTTTTGGAATTTTAGCTCATCAAAAAATGGCATTACATTTATAGCAGAGGTTGTGGATTTGTTTGGGTCCTCAATTGCACTGAATAACTGAAAACCGTACAGGAATGTAGCAACAAGAGAATTACCTGGAACTCTTTAATTTAATTTAACTTTTTTTTTTTTTTATAAAAAACTGTAATCAAAATTTTGTGGGTTCATCTTATTTTTGCATATCAGGGTTTTAGAAGGGCAGATGTGGTTTTGTTTTTACAGAAAGAAATGTTTACAGACCTGCCTAAGAAAAATCATTCTGTCTTTTATAAAGATTCTACCCTTCAGCCTTGAAGGCTGTTAGACATGCTTGAAGACTCCACCAAAAATCAAACTTGGAAGAAAACTTTGCACATCTATTTATATTTATATTCAAGGGACATTAAAGACAGCATTCAATAATTTATAATAAAAAGCACTATTTTTAAATGAATTGTTTGATTCACTTCTCTTCTTCTACCCTCCCTAAGTGTTTTACCTCCAATGCTATCTACATTCTGGATCCCATTCCAGTAATCTTTTAATAATAGAAAGCAAAAGAGATACCTTGGCCAAGAAAGACTGCATTCAAAAGTAAGGCTATTTGGCTGCCATTAGTTTCAGTGGTATTAAAGCAGCTGCACATCTAGACATAACTCCTTTTTTCAAGAAAAGGAAACTCTTCTAGAAAGGTATCAAGACTCCTTATCATTGAGGGCTGCTTTTTCTTACCATGACAGACCATGAGATTCATTGAACATTCAGAATTAATTGATTCTGTGTGGAATGCACTTAAGCAATAGCAGCCCCCCATCTTTTGTGTGGGAGGAAGGAAGTCTTCTGTACATATTTCTGAAACGCCATAGGGACACATAAAGGAGAGCACTAGATGTAGTGGCCACAGGGCTTTGGCTTGGAAGACAGGCAATGATGAAAATATCATTTATCTTGTTGTTTCATGGCTTATGCGAGTATTTGAAAGCAAGCAAAAGCTGCCATTATTTACAGTTCCATCCTTTGTGTTCCCAAATTGCCACCATGGAGCTAAACCCAGACACACACACACACACACACAAAAGTATTCGGGAATAACCAGAAGGGGCAGGTGCTTTACACGCAGAATATCCCAAATTAAGTCCAGGGTATGGAAGATCTTTACCTGAAACCTGGATGATTCCTGCCAGCCAGAGTAGACATTCCTGAGCTAGATGGCCATTATTGTAAGATGGCTGCTTACACTGGATAACACAATTTTCAGATGAGCCCATCAAGCCCACTACTTAATTTTATTCATTTATTTATTATATGTCTATGCAGCTGTATTTCACAAGAACTCACGGTGATGTGAAATTAAAATTGCTACTTTCCCCTTGCAGTCATTCCCTCTCCAACTATTTTTCTCCCAAGTGAAGCAATACCAAAAGAGCTTTGGCTAGATGAAACCGGCCCAGGGAGTGGTATTGGAAGAGGAAATCATTGGACAAGGATTAGATTCACCTTTCAAGTTCTCGGCTACTGTTCTAATTATGGCAAGGCATCATGAGCTAGTGGCTTTCCAGATGTGTTGACTTCCCAAGTCTCATTAGCCCTGTTCAGCATAGTCAAGGGTTAGAAGTGATAGTAGCTGTGATTGAATAACAATTTAAGGAGGCCTGGGGCACCATCCCTGACATAAGCAAATTCATGTTTCCCAGAAATAAGCAATGTGTAAAACATATCCCTTGAGATATGCAAACTTTCAGTGAAGCTTCCTGCAATCTAACTTCAGTTCTCAATATATGACAGCCTGACCATTGAGAGGGATGATAAGATAGCTTGTTTAGCTTTGGGAGCTTCTCAAGGGCAGTGGAAACTTCTGGTGGAGAACGTGCTGTCTGCATGTCAGCTCCCTCGGTGTGTTTGCAGAAAGCTGCTTCCTTATCGCTCCAACATTTGTTAACTAAATGGGAGTGGAGGAGGTATCTTGTGATGGACCCATTTAGAAAGATTCTAATTTTTTTCCCATGTATGTCTTCAGGTCCATGATGTATCCTGTTTGTACATCTAGCCTTCTTATTTGCCAGTGTTGTCCAAACTTGGCCACTTTAAGATGAGTGGACTTCAACTCCCAGGATTCCCCAGCCAGCCATGCTGGCTGGGGAATTCTGGGAGATGAAGTCCACTCATCCTAAAGTTGCCAAGGTTGAGAAACACTGCTCTATAACATATGCCAGTGTTGTCCAAACTTGGCCACTTTAAGATGAGTGGACTTCAACTCCCAGGATTCCCCAGCCAGCCATGCTGGCTGGGGAATTCTGGGAGATGAAGTCCACTCATCCTAAAGTTGCCAAGGTTGAGAAACACTGCTCTATAACATATGCCAGTGTTGTCCAAACTTGACCACTTTAAGATGAGTGGACTTCAACTCCCAGGATTCCCCAGCCAGCCATGGGGAATTCTTGGAGTTTAAAGTTACTCATTTTTAAATTGTTAAGGTTTTGTAAAAAATTCGCAATTTTTTTA